CACTTCTCAGTTTTCTAGTCAATGTAGTTACTATTTCTTCATTTTCACATTTCAAGTTGGTAGCTGCATCGTCTTTTACTATTATTTCATGTGTTCTTGCCGGAATGATTAATATCATTGATACTGATAACACTTGCATCATATTGGATAATTTACTTGGGTGTTTTGGTTACGATCTGTCTCCTATCATTAGAGCATAAGCTGAACCAAGGCAGGGAATTTGATCTGTTTGTGTCAGTGTTATATCCACAGTGTCAGGCACTTGTCCTTCTTGGTCCAGTCAACCTGCCACCAACTTCAGTCATCGCTGATTACTCCAGCCAGACAGGAGCTCTATCTCCCCTAGTCTCTCTCCAAGGCTGCAGCTCTGGGTGCCATGATTTGTCACCTGCAAGCTCCATGAGGCCAAGCACCTGGCCTGAGACATTTTTCTACTTGGAATAGCATCTCACAAATGTCAAGTAAAAGACGCACCACACACAGACACACACACACACACAACCTTGTTCTACCTGGAGGCAGGGAAGCTCACGGTGGTGTAGAAGCTCCACGTGGGCCTGTGTGTGGTCTGTGGGGGCTCAGTGGGGCCAGGCTGAGTCAGCACCAGAAGCTGCCATCCTGCAGGAATGCAGCCCCAGAGTCACCAGGTCCCTGATTTTATAAACTCAAGCAAAACTATAAATATGATGTTGTGGAGTGAAATCACCCTATTTTCAAATGTTGGTTCAACTAGAGAAAATATCGCCTGGGCCAGATGAAACAGACCTTGGATCCAGTCACTGGGAGACCAGTTTTCAACCTAGTAAAAGGGAACTTCGTTATTGATTTTCTTCCCTGACCTGCAGCCTCCAATTGTTCCCACTTGTAGCCCGGATTTCTCCTTTGCTTCTGGCCTAAAAAGAGAGGGACACTCCCCAGTTGAATAAAGAACCAGAAACAAAGGTTGGAAATGTTCCATATCAGGAAATGCAAAGATGCTAAGCAGAGAAGAAGTCCCCGAGCCCTGGGTACTTGCAGAACGGGTTTTCCTGCTAGGAGATTAGCTCAAAGGCTACCCAGGCTGGGGAGAGGGAGACAGGAATGGGGTGAAAGACAGAGTGGGAAGGAGAAGGTGTTAGGGGAAGCAGGGGCTTCAGAGGGAGCCAAGTCAGTGCTGAGGCTTCAGGCAGTCAGCCCATTGTTCCCTGTCTTGATTCAATGACGCTGCCCTGCACCCTGAGACTCTGCCAGCCCCTTTTCTCCCTCCGTTTCCATGAAGCCTGTGTGTGAAGACCTAGTGCGGGGAAGAGCACCAGCCATCATTTTGTGAGGAGGAAGGGACGGCCAAAGACTCACAGGGGCTCCCGTGGAGAGCCACTGGCTTCTTTGAGCTATTGATCTAGCCTAGCCACCCCCTTTCCTCCATAGTACCTGTCAGGAGAGATGGAGCCCACCCTCCCGCCCCCTGGCACCCTCAGGCAGCCCTTCTATTCCTGGAGACAAGTGTTTCCTGTGCAATTTCTTGATTCAAGGACTAGGTAACAAGGGACTTGGACACTGAGGAGACATCCTGCTAAGTGGGCTCTGGCTGAGGCTCCTGCTAAGCATCCTTCTCAGTGCTTATCAGTGGCACATGCATTAGTATTGGGACCAACCCAATTTTAAATACCTAAAAGAATCTATTCCAATCACCTTTGGATATACCACAATCTGAATTTCTGAGCTGCTTTTATGGGCCTCTATGTCAGCCAACACCATGGAAGCATGGGGGGAGGGCTAGGCTGTGAATGGGAGAAGGGACCTGGCAGGTAATATCTTCCCCCAGCTTCCCTCAACTGGACTCTCGTGTGTCGTGGTTAATGCAGCCTGTTACAGGACAGTCCCCAGAGATGGAGCTGAGGTCAGCTCTCCTGCCTTCTCTGACCTGCCTCATTCCCCTTTTCTCACTCTTGATGAAGGAGTAGCTAAGCCTTTGCCTTAAAGTCTGCTATAAAAAATAATCCAGGCTATGGTGGTTCTAACCATTGGCATTTCTCTCTCCCATGACACCTTCTAATTTCTACATGTCTGAAATGGATGCTATGGGCTCAAAAGGCAGCACCCACAGAGACGGATGCGCATTGTTATGGTGGTGGGTAGTGGTAATACTGAGCTGGGGCAGTTCTTTGGGAGAAGTTTTGAAAGATCACATCTTTGGCAGAGAAATTTCAGAGGCAACCGGGCTGAACTGAGAAAGTAATTACAGGTCACACCTCCTCGGAACTTACCATGCAGTTCATTTATGTGCATTATCACTTCCCTTTTTTGCAATTCTTCTATTAGGGAGATGTTATTATTTTTGTGATCAAAATAATGGTTTTGTCCAACATCAAACCTAGGAAGTGGTGGAGGTATAATTTGTAGGTGTCCTGGCTCTAGCGCCCCCTAATGGGTCTTGGGCACTTTACTCATGCAGCGGATGGGGAGATCAGAATTCATTCTTCTCTCCACTGTGAACTGCCCGGTCCAGGATGCTGCGTCTGACTGTGCATGTGTAAACCCCTCTCTGTGGTGGGTACGGATCTGTAACCCCCAAGCTTTGAGGTGTGGCCTCTGCAGCCAGGTTGGCCAGAGTTCAAATCCAGGCTCTGCGGCTTCCTGAGTGCTCTAACCTTGGTCAGGTAACTTTGACCTGCTACAATTCCATTTCCTCACCTGTAAAGTGGTCAATAAAAATATTGTGTGATGTGGTGAAAATGAAAACACTTAGCAAAGTGCATGCACAGAGCACATGCTCAGTTTATATGTTGCCATTATTATTATTATTATATTGTCAGGGTAAGGCAAAGGGTAGCCTGGATGAAGATTGAGGTCCCTTCCAAGTCTTAAGATCTATGACTCTGAGAATTGACATGCTTCTCTCTCTGACACCCCCACACCCCCTGCCACATGTTCACTTCCCACAGTCTAATTACACTCCCCCAGAACTCAAGCTCCCTTGAGCCTCACCTTTCAGCCCAGCCACTTCTTACTGAAAGTTTGAAACAGTTAGAACTTTCTCTCTCTGCCCCCACTATGTTCTAACCCCGGCGCTGCACCTCAGCCTCATGCACGCTGCTCTGCCTTTTTCTATGTGTCTGGACAAGTTCTTTCTTCCCATATCCCTGGTAGCTGAAGTCTCCCATCCGCTTCTCTCCCCACACTGGCTCCTTCCCCTTGTCTGTTAGCTTACTGGCGGATCCGTCTATGCCACCTCAGCACCTCATCTGTTTCCTTTGTGCATTTGGTACCATTTGTAATGATGTTGCCTTTTTACAGCCATCTCCCCCGCTACTCTCTGTTTCTGCGGTGCTTTGAAATGTAGCTCTGGAATGAATGAGTCTCATTGATGGAGCATCTATGTGCCAGACCCTGTGCAAAGATTTAACCCTAAAGAAACTCCCTCATTAAACAAATATGTCAGAAGCACACATGAGCGAGACGCAGGGAGCATGGAATGCCAATGTGCGGAGTCCAGAGCCAGGAACTGGGTGAGAGATTAGGCAACTCCATGTGGGCTCCGTGGGTTACCAGGAACAGCACAGGTGCATAAAGCCCCATTACTCCTGTTTATGCAACAACGAAACTGGGGATTTGAGAAAACAGAAGGTTCGTGTACAGCAGTTCTCAACAGTGGCCTGGAGTCCCTGAGACTTTTTCAGGAGATCCCTGGGATTTTCCCACTACATATCGTAGGAGGCTAGATTTTTTTTTTTTTTTTTAATGTACAGCTGAACAACATACCTCAAGAGACTGAACATAAACATAGAGATGAGGCTCTAACCTTCCAGCTAGCCAGACATTAAAGAGATTTGCAAAACTGTACCACTACGTGATTCTTCTCTCTCTCTCTCTCCATATATACATATAATACACATACACACACACTTTTGTCTTGGAAAGTGTAATTATTTTCAATTTAAAACTTTTTTTTTTTTTTTGAGACAGAGTCTCAAGCTGTCCCCCTGGGTAGAGTGCCGTGGCATCACAGCTCACAGC